GAGGGTTCTAGAACTGAGAACGTTCAGAGTCACAGGTGGAAGAGGTTATCTTCCAGCTGCTGCTCTGCCCCTTTATATAGTCGCAGACCTATAGTTTGGGATACTAGTACAAGGGGTCTCCTACAGCTATTCATAGAGTAATGAAATAGACCGAGACAAATACTAACCGCTGCAAGCCAAGTAATTGGTGAGCTAATGTTAGTACAGGTGAAATAGAAACCTGAAACACGAAGGTCTGGTTTGCATAACCTGAGTGAGTAAATCGTAGAAACGAAAACTGCTAACCCTAGAATATGTCCACAAGACCTATGAATCATAAATAGTAAGTATCATGTGCAACGTAAACTGTCACATGACCATGAAGCGCTGAAACTGTAACACAAGCTCCCCCTTCCAATCGGCAAGACCCTTGACGACAACTCACCAAACTAGCCCATCAATGTCCCCCACGAACACCTACATGGTTATAGACTGGGATGGTAGTGTGGGGTACGACCTCCCAGCCATCATCGAGATCCTCTTGGGGCTGAGGATGGAACTCGGTAGGTGCCCAGTGCGAGATGGATCCATCTTCATAGAGGACCACCTTTAGTGCTTCGACACCATCAGTAAGCCATCCAGGCTGCTCAATCATGGCAACGAGGGGTTGGAAGATGACCGGCACGAACTTACGAGGTGTCTTGGCATCTCCATAGTGGACTTGATCAGAGAACGTCCTGAATAGTTCGACCTCATATTGCTCGACGCCTTCTTCCTTGCCCGCGAAGCGAACACTGATGATGCACATCCGGTTGGGTGTTGGATGCCAGTTGTGCATGCCTGGGATGGGTGGCGGATAAAGAAGAGCGACCCATTGACTGAAGACACGATGAGGTGAGTCTTCCGAGTAGAGGTGCCAGGTGACCTTCTGATTGTCCCAAGTAAAGACGAAGGCGTGGAAGGTGGCAAAGTCGCGCGTGCCCGTACGATGGATGTAGAGATGATGACCATCGCATTCTATGAGGAATGTTAGTGGTGTGGCGATGAAGACATCATAGGGTGATGCTACATCTGGGGCGATGAGCGATACCTGTCCTGCCGCTGGGTTGCTCAAAGACTTGATCACTCGAGCATACCTTATCTGCTCCTTGATGGTGTCAGCTGGTGCAGGTTGTGATCTGTCCTCAGGTGGGTCATTGTAGGGGTAGGTGGCACCATTATGGTGGGGGTAGCCGGGTCGTTCATCGTTGGCATTCCTTGCCTGTTCATCATCTTCTCTCCAAGCTCTCCCTGTCATCCAAGACCCTCCCATCATCCAATGACCTGTCTCATCTTCATCATCTCCCCACTGTGCACTCCTCCATGAGTCGGCCAGTGCTTCATCACTAAGGTTGTTTAGAAGCGGGAGTTCATCTCCATCGCTGTCGAGGAGTAATCCTGGCTCTGATGTGTGGTGAGTGACGGTGGTGGTGACACGGATGTTAAGCAACATGGGTGGAGGTGGTAGAGCAGGACGATTCTCTTTATCCCAAGGGTAGATTTCCTCGTAGAGTTCCCACTCAAGTAGAAGGAGGTGATGGTCCAGTAGAGGGAAAGGAGGGCCGCTACTTATACCTTCGAGCAGCTGTTCCTCTTCTTCATATCAGTCCGTGATGTGAATGTTCGCCATTCCCGTACGTTCTTCCACTGGTATTGTTATTGTCCTTGTTATTGTCCTTGATACGGTACTGTGTATGACACTGAATACATCCAGAGTGAATGAGAGTGCTGCCGGTAAGATATCAAAGTGTAGCGGATGATCTAGAGTGTACGATGGTGGGAGGATTCCCACTGGAAGCCCGGCGTAGATGGCTGTTAGGATAGTCTGACGTCAATCTGGCTCTAGCAGGGGCAGGTGGAGTTCCTCCATTAGGTACATTGGGTAATTCATTCTCATGAATGTTTCCCATGTTCCATCTAGGTCGATATTGACGTCGTCCTCTAGTGTTACCTTCGGCTTGTCCATTTGGAATGGAAATGGGTACAGAATTCTGATTAGCCTGCTGGGGTGAGGGGTTAGATATGGCTGTCATCGAGTTGACCTGAAGTCATCCAGGAGGTGGACTTCGTGGACGTCGTCCGCTCTCTGGATGAGATGGTCCATCATGGTTTGGATGGGTCATGTTGAACTCAACGTTGGTATGGTCGAAGTCAGCAAGATCCTCGATGGCGAATCCAGCCCCTCTGATAGCGAGATAGACTCCGAGTTGTTGGAAGACCTGGTAGCGATGGTCGTGGGAGGAGTGGGATTCGACGTCTTTGAGAACTTTGATAAGATGGGTAAAAGTGGTGATAGCAGATTCGAGAAACTCGGGATGTTGCACGGGCATTGGGGCATGGACTGAGGGTTCAGGCCAAGTTGTGCTCCTTTTTATACTTGTTCAGCAGCTCTCCTGCATTGCCCATTTCTGTCTCTTTTACCCACGACCTTTCGCTGAGTGGATATCCAGCCCATTTTACCAGATATTCATTCTTGCTGCACCATAGTCAGTGTCCAATTATAGACTCAATTTCAAATTCTTCCTCTCCTTCGATAAGATCCAGAGACGGTGTTGAATAACTTTCCCCATGTGTACTGGTCTGCCGATACGGCATGAGCAATGCAGCATGGAACACCAGATGGATCTTCCATGTCATAGGAAGGTCTAACTTGAACGAGAGTGGTTCCAGAACCTCCTTGATCCTGAATGGTCCTTCTCGCTTCGGTGCTAGCTTGTTCGATTTATAAGGCCTTTTCAAATTGATGGCTTCCAGCCAAACCTTGTCTCCTTTCTTGAACGTCGGAGATCCTCCTTTGATCCTGGCAGATACATGGGCTTTTGCCTTGATGATTCCTTCTGTGGCCTCCTTGCAGATCATGCTGAGAAGTTTGAGTCTTGTATCTACGTCGGGAATCTCGTCCTGAGGAAACAGTTCTGGCATTCCTCAGGGTTCGTAGCCATACCATATTTCAAATGGTGACTTCTTCATTATTGAATGAGTATGGAGATTGTGCGTGAACTCTGCTTCAGATAGGAATTGATTCCATCAATGCAGTTGCTCGGCACAATACATTCGAAGATATGTTTCCAATTCTTGATTCATTCGTTTCGTTTCACCATCCGTCTGTGGATGATAGGCTGTGCTCATAGCCGACTTGATCTTGAGGGCAGTGCACAGTGCTTGGAAGACTTTGGATGCGAATTGTGTTCCACGGTCAGAGATGATCTTGTCGGGTAGCCCAAAGCGTTTCCAAACTTGTCGTCTGAATAATTTGGCAGTTTCCGAAGCCATGATCGTCTTCTTGCAGGGACATAGAATTACCCCCTTACTAAGCCCATGGTCTACCATGACCATTATTGAATCAAAGCCTTCGCTTTTCGGTAGATCTGTAATAAAATCCACGCTAACCTGCTTGAAAGGTAGCGCATTGGACGAAGGACCGATAGGCTGTAGTGGAACTTTAACCTGGTTTTGAACAGCTTTGGATTGCTGACATGTGGCACATCCATTGACATAACTTTGAATGAAGCGATACATTCCTGGCCAACAGAAGTCTTTACGCACTAGTTGGTGCGTAATCCAGATTCCCAGATGACCATGGGGAGTGGCCTCATGATATCGCCGAACAAGTTCCTTCTTCAAGGCAGTATTGTTTGGGATATATACGCGTCCATGGATGGTGATTAACTCATTGTCAGCATCCTTGATGTCATCCTTGGTCATTCCTCGAGAAACTGGAAGTTCTTCCATTAGGCCGTCCTTGTACGCAAGTACTGACAGGTCTTTTGTTAGCGCTTGTCAGATTTGTTCCGCCATATCTGTATCGATAGCACCAATAAAGAGATCGTCGGGTAGCAGGATTGCAGGTGACTTGTTATCCTGTCGATTGTCTAATTCGGACAACTGTGAAAGCACATCCGCTTGCACCATTTGTCGTCCTGGCATATGGACAATCTTGTAGTTGAACATAGACAGGAAGAGTTGCCACCTTTGCTGTCTTGGGTTCAAATCCTGCAGTTGCCTGAAGTACGTCAGATTCTTGTGATCTGTACATATGAGGAATGGCTCTTTTGTGCCGTCGAGATAGTGTCTCCATTCTTTAAGTGCGCAGATGATTCCTAGAAGCTCCTTATCATAGATTTGATAATTTCATTCTGGGTCGGAGAGCGACTTGGAATAGTATGCACAGGCATGGAGATCACCATTATTGTCCTTCTGCATAAGGACTGCTCCTGTAGCGAAGTCCAATGCATCAGTTTCAATGACAAAAGACTTGTCTTTATCTGGCATGACCAGTATTGGTGCCTTGCCGAACTCGTTTTTGAGATAGTCAAAAGCAGCTTGTTCTTTGCTTGTCCAATGGAACACATTCCCGCCCTTGGTCTTGGTAAGATCAATTAAGGGTCTTGCAATTTCAGAATAGTTCCAGATGAATTTTCGATAGAAGTTGGCGAATCCTAGAAATGCTCGCACTCCTTTTACGCCAGTTGGGGCTTCCCATTTGATGATCCCATTGACTTTTGCTGGATCCATCTAAAGTCATCCTGGGAGGGGAACCAGTCCTAGGAAGTCAGTGCATGTAGTCTTGAACATGCATTTCTCCAGTTTGAGATAGAGGTCATTGTCGACCATTTTCTTAAAGACTCATTCAAGCTTCTTTTCCAACTCCTTTTCGCTTTCGGCAAGGATGAGGATGTCATCCAGATAGCATAGTAGCCATCCTTCGGCGATTTCTTCTGTGAATATTTCGTTCATCATTCGCTGAAAGGTTGCTGGTGCATTGCACATTCCGAAGAACATGACCGTGGGTTCGAACAATCCATGCTTGGTGATGAAGGCAGCCTTCCACTCATCTTCTTGATGAATTCAGACATTGGTGTATGCTCCACGAATGTCAAGCTTCACGAAATACTTGGCATGGCAGAGTCGATCCATTAGGTCCAATATGAGTGGGAGTGGATAGGCATCCTTGATTGTTCCTTCATTCGCATAGCGGTAGTCCTGACATGGATGTAGCCCACCGTCTTTCTTTCCTACAAAGAAGAAAGGTGATGCCATCACAGATTGTGAAGGATGAATATATCCTTTCACAAGGTTTTCGTTGATAAAGGCATTCATAGCTTCTTCTTCCGGCTTTGATAGATTATAGACCTTTCCTCGTTTAGGAACAAAATCCGGCTTGAAATTTATGTTGTGATCGTAAGATCTATGCGGTGGTAACCGTTCTGATGCCTTTTCTTCGAAAATCTGCTTGTATTTGAGAAGATATGATGGTATTGTCACTTTCTTCTTGGAATTCTTCTTCTCCTTGAGTGCTTTCTTTTGTGTGAGTTCCTGTGCTTTGTTTGATGCCTTCCATAAGATTCCATCTTTCTTTCTTGTTCGATGGGGATCTTTGGGGGCATTCATTTGTCACAGTGCGAGATACTGCATCTTCCTTTCTCCTGCCGAGCGACGTTCTTTTTCTTCGAACGTAACTTCTTGGAGTATGCCAGTATCATGTTGATAGGCGAAAATAGCTTCTTTTTCTCCTATTTCCTGATCCTCCAAGTATGGTGCTCCTTTTATGTATGCAAGCAAGAGGTCTGAATCAACAGTTCCTGCTTCATCTGGTGTGGGATCGACATCAGACCAGTCGATCCTTCTCAAGGTTCGCTTGGCTTTGGCTTTCTCCTTTTTGGTGATTGGAAGACGAACAGTGTCTCTGTTTTTAAAAGGCCATGGTTCCTCGTCTGGTACATCTTCTACATATTGACGGACCTTGACTTCACCTGTTTGCCAATTGATAATTGGGTTGTGATCATGAAGCCACTTATTGCCAATGATCACGTCTTCTTTTCCTAAGTCGATGACAAGGAAGTCATCATTCCATTCGTACGTTCCTGCACAAACAGTTCCTTTGAATCGTTGGTTTGTAGAGTTGATGGGGCTTCCATCAACACTGTGAATCTTGACTTCCTTCTGCGATTTGAGAAGATGGAGTCCTGCTTTCTTCGCAAACGATTCATTGATGAACATTCCTTTTGCTCCAGAATCGACTAGGGCTCTTGCTGGAATACTTCGGGTTCTTGTGCCGTCGTAATCTTGGAAGACGATATTGAGGTATATTTCGCTTCCTCATTTGATATCGCCTCGTATGATTACTTCCTCGGGGACCGTTTCTTTATCTGGGTGCCACGAGATCCCAACGCGCACCCAATTCCAAAACCCTCTGGATCGTCTTTTTCCATGAGTGGTGGATATTGGCATGCATATTCATATCTGTCTGGATTGTCTCTGAATTCCAGAAGATCGTCGAGATGGGGCATCGTCATGTTGTGTTTCTTAATATGGTCTCCTCGCATTTTGAGTGCATCTTCCCATCGTATTCTGGCAAGTTCTTCTTTGGGGATGAATCTTCGAACCACATATGACTCTTCTTCTGAGTCGCTGGATTCATCCTTGGTTTGCCTGATTTTACGAACTGTTTTGGTTTTCACAGAACGAGTTCTTCGTACCCTGTGAACAACCGTTTCTTGTTCGGATACTTCTTCAGAGTCTGATGATTCAGAATCTGATTCTTCCAATGATGAAGATTCCGATTCTTCCTGTTCCGACTCTTCTGAGTTATCCTCAGAGTCACTTTCCTTGACCCTCTTTACTCGTCATCGTTTCTTCTCCATTCCCTTGGAGTAAGATTTAGTCGGCTTGGAAGTCTTTCTTCGTCTGCCAGATCCGGAGTATTTCTTCATCCTGGAATTGGGTGTCTTGGTCTTGGCATATGAAGTTGTCTTTCCTGAGTGATCTGGTGCCGGATCATATTCTGGACTCGTGCATTGTGCAGCGACGTGTCCTGACTTTCTGCAGTTGTAACAGAGTCCACCACAGAATGTTTCTGATGGGTTTCTGGGGAGATCTGGTCAATGTCCATGACGTCAGGGTCCTTCTCCGTCCTTCTTCCGCTTCCTGAAGAGCCTGAGATGAACTTGAAGATGTTTGTCTTTCTGCTATGAATGTCCTGGAGGTCCGTGACCTTTCTTGCGGCCTTACATGCTGCTGCATAGGTCGTTGGCAGACTTTCCGTGATGAAGACTTTTTCTGCAAGTTTCTCATTAAGGCCTCGTTTGAAGTGGATGAGCTTGGCATATTCGTCGTCGATTTCAGCATATCGGTAGAGGATATCGAGATTTCCGATGTACTCGTCGACGGTTTGCTTGTCTTGCTTGTACTTCCCTTCGAGAAGTACTTGCCAAGCTTGGTCCTTGGTTGCGATGCCTCCATATTTTTCAGTAAGCATCATTTTGAAATCTTGGTACATCCCAAGATTGCTATGTTTTGCCATTTGGTTGGCTTCCCATGACTCAGCCCACTTTCCTGCTGTGGATGAGGAGTCGATTTGAGAGAGGATGAAGGCAATTTTACTGAAGTCATCATTGTAGACTCCCGTGTTTGCCTGTAGGTATCGTTCCACATTTCAGAGAAACGATGCATATTCTCGCTTGTCTCCCTTAAACTCCTTAATTTTTCCCATCTTCTTTTCCCGCACCGCTGGCTGCTTGGGGATTGCTCCCTGATATTGTGCATAGAGTCCCACTGCTTGTTGGTACTCATTTCAGATGACATCGGTGCAAGTTCCAGGATGGACTGGTGGTCTGAGAGCCGGGTTGTATCGTGCATGTGTGGCCATACTTCCTGAGAACTGGAAGCTACCAGTTGATCTTGATCCAGTTGAAACCGAACATGTGATTCCAGGTGTGTTGGGTAGGTGGGGTGGCTGGTCCCTTCTGAGATGTGTGATTCCTGGAGAATTTGGTCGAGTAGTGCTGTCCGAGATAGATCTCTCGAGTGGAACTGCTTTTGTTCCGAGAGAATTAACTGGCTGTAATTCACTGATTTCTTGTGAATGCCCTTCCTGTCATTCAACTTGGATTGCTTCTCCTCGTGGAAGTTCTGTTGCTTCGTCAAAGGTTCGTAGAGATTCTTTATCAAAGCTTTCCCTTCCACGAAGAACTTGTCTTATTTCTTTGGTCTCACTCTCGAGCTGCTCTAGCCTCGGGTGATCTGTTGGTTCGTAGGCTCGTCCTAGCCTGAATTGAAGTCGAAGTTGAACCGCTTCTGTCGACTTTTTGTCGTAGAGGTCTGTTAACTCCTCTGTGGTGGCGTCACTGAGCGTAAATGGTGGTACTTCTTCGTCAGAAGTCACCGGTCGTGTTTCTGGTGTATCTTCCTCAGATACTTGGTCGTGTTCCCATGGAGCACTCGTTTTGAATCTTGTCTTGTCCTAAGATTCCTTGATTGCCTTCCCTGGGAAGGGCTTTAGCACGTTTTCAATGTGTGCCTCAGATGAGGGCTTCTCTTCTAGATTACCACACGAGTAATCACTAGTGCTTGAGTTTGTTCCTGTAACAAAAACTCCGCACTCCTGCCTTTTGATCTTTGGTGGCCCTTAACCAATCTTGTATGCCTTTTGATTTGCCTGGTAGCGTTAACCAGTCGGAGTCCTAGTCTTCTTTTCTAGACCTCAGATATCCTGTGCTCGCTTTTTAAAGTGCCCAGCTAGTCACTTCGAACTCCTGCCTACTCCCGTTTGAGCGCTTGGTCATTCTGGCTTTTGATTTCCTCTGCTTGGTGTCCTATAAGCAATCGTCCTTCCTATCCACATTTTCTCGATTGAAAACTGGCCTCAGCAAGGTCTGGGTGCCTTCTTTCGGTGGCCCTTAACTGGCGTCTTCTGTGTACCCAGCACCTTCGGTGAGGATGGAGCTCAAGTCGACACTGCCTTCAGCAGGTACCTTGCCGCAACAAGTACCCAGGTTCCACTTCTTCGAGAATCTCTTGTCTGGCGAAGTACCGTAGCGATGGCTACTTCAGAGTGGTTCTCCTTATTTTTCCCTCCGTGGGCGAAGTACCATAGTGACGGATACTTCAGAGTGGTTCTCCCTGTTTTCTCAAGTGGTGCAGAGGCCGTAACATGCATCGAGTTCCCTAGAATTGGATACCCCTGTTTGAGGACTTGATGGAATTGTTTTTCTGTAGCGTCCAAGTAGACCCCACTTCTTGTAAGTGGTTCTAAACCTAAACAGGTTGACCTATAGAAAAACCTCTTCCAAATGTTATAAAGTGTTCCCTGCTAGAACGTTCGTAACCACGTGTGCTTTCTCACATGTACTAGTCCACAATGTGGACAGAGACTTAGATACCAAATATACCTAACGTCTCCAATAGCCAGGCAGACTATTAGCAGGGTTTATAGTGTGGTCAAGCCTAGTAGACGATGTAGCAGTGAGGTCCTCACTCTACCCTTGCTAGGCCTTGGCCGCT